TGGCAGTGGAAGATTGGACCATGTGATGGACTTGTGGGTGTGGGGGCAAGATCATGAACTTTCAACTGGGTGGGAAACCCCAAAAGCTTTCAGATTCGGGTTTCCACAGATTTGCCAACATGTCTCTCAATAAATTGGAAGTTTGAAGAAAGTTCTGCCTTGGACTCTCATTTAATTTTGGATGATACTTTTAAAATTAGAAATGTTTAATATCAAAATCAAGGTGGCTCAAGGGCTAAGACACAGAGCTTGTCAATCAGAAAGGTCGGCAATTCAGCTATTCGAATCCCGAGCGCCATGTAACGGAGTGAGCTCCCATTATTTGTCCTGGCTTCTGCCAACCTAGCAGTTCGGAAGGACATAAAAAATGCAAGTAGAAAAATAGGGACCACTTTGGTGGGAAGGAAACAGTGCTCTGTGTGCCTTTGGCATTCTGGCCTAGAGCTGGAAACGAGTAGCACACATGTGTGGGAGAACATTTACTTTAGCCTAATATCAAAATATATCTGGTACCAGCTCATTGGTAAATTATCCCCTGAGGAATGAGATTGGCCGAATCTGCTGGCCTTTTGTAGCACAAGGAAGTTGATATGATATGATTAGTTTGTTTTGATCCTTGTTGGGACCCCATACCTGCTACGGCTGCAGTCTTGGAGCCTCCAGTGCCTCTAGGGCATCCTTCTTTCTCTTCCAGGGTCTGGACAAGTATGCAGCCTTCACGACATGGGCCAGAGTCATAAAGATACTGTAAACAGAGTCACTGTTTTCAATAAATATCCCATTCAATTCATCATCAGTCTCCACTGGAGTTTCTTGGGTGCATCTTTTCTGGCCTTTGACAGAATAAACATGCTTTGAAAAAGAACACTGAAAATGTTTGTCTTCATACTGGGAGTCTATAAAGGAGAAGGGTTCAAAAGCACCATATTCTGGGCTTATTTTTGCATAAATTCAAAGCTCCAAATACTATGGATGTATTTGTGCTATCCAAGATGAGAGATTATATAGTTTCCCAAATTGTGGTGATCCAAATTTTCTCTCTAATGGGTCCTGACAAAATGTCAAGTGTTAGATGAAAAGTATGAAATGTGCTTGAAATGATAATATGTTCTATGAAGTGAACAAAGAGATTGACTTGTTTCCACTGAGAAAAGCTGGAATCCCTGAAGGGTACTGGATAGTCACTCATTGAGAATTGTTGTGATATAACGACACAAATTCCATTCCTGNCAGGAACCAGAGGAATAAGAAGAAAGGAAGAAGAATGTTAGAAATGCAAATGGAGGGAATGCAACTCCATCACACTGAATGACTTACGGAGAAGAAATATAACGAGCCCCATTGAATTGTAGCAGTTCAAGTGAAGTTGTTGTTGCTGTTTCAATCACGCTAATAATATGGTCTCTATGCCAATAATAGTTCCATGGATTTCTTCTTTCCTGCTGCTTCAAAGTTGGGGGGCATTTGGTTCTGAGTTTCCCAGAGTATCTCTGGGTGAACAGAAACATCAGAAGCATAAACAGGAGGTCCATTTTTCTTTGGGATGAATCAGCCAGTTCTCTGTTTATAAAGAACAAGAAGAGTTAGAAAAAAATCAAAACACTTTCACAAGGGGGAAGTGTCAGTGATACCCACTGAGCTTTACCTGGAAAGGAGAGAATGGTACATTCAAGAGCACAACCTCATTCTGTCCTAAATTTTGTGCAAAATATTCAGCATGAATACAGGTATTTATCCTTTTCTGATGCAAGATCCCTTTCATGTTCCTACTGGCTGATCAAAGGCAATCACTGGAGAGAGTGCAAAAGTGGTCTCAAAGACAAGGATGGTGATAATCACAGTGAGAAGCTATTTTTCCACTGGGGATCTTGAAGTCCTTTCAAAGGTCCATGTGTAGAGGGGCAGCTGGAGAATAGCACTATTGGAAAATTATGGTTTCACACCTGGGGCACTGTTCTCTAGTTGTTCTGGGACATATTAAGAAATTAATGTTGACATATGAGAGTTCAACCACAACATGAAAGACTACTGATATTCTTCTGGATAGTATCTTCTCTTTTATGCTTTTGAAAAGAGGCCATTGGGAAAGGTCACCCCACATTTTTCATGTTTTGTACTATTATATACTAATTATATACATTCCACTTTGTCTGTCTGAAACCTTGGTCATTGCTTGGAAAAAGGTGGCTTGGCTGAGATGTTACATCAGATGTGTCCATGTGACTTTCTCTCTTTGTGCATCATGGAGGAGCATTGTTAGTGCTCAACAAAGGACAAACATAGGCCATCCAAAGATAAAACTGCTATTAAGGCCTACCTTGTAGTGATTCAGAAGTAGTTCTCCACCATTTTGGTGTTCTCACATAGCCAGCACAAGGTTTCAGTTTACTTTAGCTGAACCCTGGCAAGATTGAGTGACTTTGGGTTTTAGGGCCAGATGGGATGGCACTGCCTCTGACAGACCGGATGAGCAATCTGGAGGATTGGGGAGTAGGTGGCAGTTATGGCTAAAAAGGTTTATATTGTGTGCCAGTTGCACCAGTTCCTAGATGAAGGGGCCCTACTCAGTCACTCATACCCTGATTCCTTACATATTTGACTACTATAATGTATTCTACTTGGGGGTGTCCTGGAAAAAAAAAACTTGGAAGCTTCAATTGGTATAGAATGCAGTGGTGCAGTTGTACAGTGGTGTAAGCAATTATGGATGCTCACATAACACCACTGTTCATATAAGAGCCAAGGTGGCGCAGTGGTTAAATGCAGCACTGCAGGCTACTGCTAGATCAGCAGNTTTAATCCTTATTGGACTGCCTTAGAAAGTTTTTGTTCTTGCTTGCAATGATATTTTGTGGATTGAGGTGATTGTAACATTTCCTGTTTCTCCGCTTGAAGTGAATGGACTGATTTTTTCCTCTATTTTTTACCACCTTATTTTTTTGGCTTAAATTAATACTCTTTTTTATTTTAACAAATTCCCCCTTCTATATGTTATAAAATTATATTAAAGATACTTAAAGATTTTTTTCCCATAAAATTGAGAAAAAGTGTAAAAAAGTTGAATCTGCCATTCGGAAGCCTGAGTCTGAAGTTTTTTTTTTCTTTGAAACAATGTTCACTCCTTTCTTCACTCCTATTTGATCTCACTGACTTTGTAATGGAAGGATTTGGAACTTGTTTACAAAACCTGATAAAGACTCAAGGGCACGAATTGCGTTTTGCAGGTGCTCTTGGAAAATATTTTGGCACGAGAAGGAAAAGGAAAGAAAAGGATAAGAACCATTTTACTCTGAAAAGTACAAAAGAACTTGTTCTTAAGATTCAAAATAAATATAGATATATTCACAAAATAAGTTTGGAAGGCTACAGTGGCAGTGACAATTAGACTCCATTTTTTCTTTTTTTATATTTCTTTTCTTTTGGAAAAATGGATCAATATTCAGATGAGGAAACTTTAAAATTTCAAAACACCCTGGTTGGAATTCAAAATATTTTAGGAGGATTTGGGAGATTTGAGAAGCAATTGGATAGACTATTGTTTATCACAGCTAAAGATGATGGGGTTGGAGCCCCAAGAATTAAAGAAGAGAATGAAAATACAGAAGATAAAGACAAAACAATAGATGAACTTATTAATGGACCAAATATGAGTGAAAGCAGAAAGAAGGGAAGATGGAAAAGTGAATTTGACAATTTGGAGCTTTATCCCAGATTTCAAGATACAGGAAGAAAAAAAAAGAGCAAAAAGGATGGAGTTAAGAAGACAAATCTATTCAGAAATAAGTTTGACAACCTAAGATAAGCTAATGTTAATAACAATTCAAGGGCAACGAGACTACATGAGAGATCTTCTAAGCAATTAAGTGCGGAGAGAAGTTTATAAAAAAACTTTTGAAAGGAGCTGAAAAGAGAATTGACACAACAACTGGAAAAAGAGATAAGACTGTTTTGCTACTGGAAAGATACAGGTTGATAATGAAAGTTGACAATAAAAGGTTAGCTAATTTGTGTTGATTAATAAGTAGTGATTTTAGTATTGTGTAGACTGTTTTAGATTATCATTTATTAATGTTTATTCATTAACATATAATCTACTATGACAATAATAATGAAATGATAACCTTAATTAGGATAAGTAACCTGGCCATAAATTGTAAATTGGGATTTGGCGAAAAGACCTATAAATCTTATTAATAAATTTTTGTTTAGATCTTGTTATGAAGGTATAATTAATTTGGGTCTGAAGAGAGGAGATGTGATACAAATAGTAAATAATTTTTTTCTGTTAACCACAATAATAATAAGGAAATGTTAATTGATACTTTTGGTAATTAATAAGTAGGAGTGTTAGCATTTTTTAGATTGTTTTAGATTTTAAATGTTTATTTTGTTAACATATAATTAACTACAATAATAATAATGAAATGACAACCTTAATTAGTAAAAATAAACTGGATATAAATTGTAATTTGGTACTTAGGGAAAAGTCCTATAAATCTTATTAATAATTTTTTTGTTTAGAGCTTGCTATAAAGGTATAATCTTTTTTGGGCCTGAGGAGAGGAGAAGTGATACAAATAGTAAATAATTTTTAGTTAACTACAATGATAACAAGGAAATGTTAATTATATGTTA